AAAAATTCATTTTCTCTATATTTTCAGTCAGTGCATAGTATGATTTAAAAATATCTACTTTCTTTCTTATTCATGATACTGAATATGTGTTATCTTATTTCTGAGATCTGTCTTAATGTATTATTAATGTATTATTAAATAAACAGCTTTGGGTTAAGTCTACTGTTTTGTTTTCTACTGCATTAATTTTATCTTTTATTTTTAATGATCTTTCTTACTTTGGTTGACTTTGGTTTCTTGTAAATTCATTCTAACTGTCCCCTCTAACTATTCATTCATTCAACACACTTAGTATGTGACTGTAAAGACTAGGTATCCTTGGTGAACAGAGCTTCTCAATCCTTGGATTCTGATGAGATTACAGTTTTAGCCATGCTGTACTGGTTTTGATACGCAGAATTCAACAGCATTAATTTCTAGTTTCTAATTTAACTTCATAACTTAAACTAAGTTAGAGGTGGTTTTAGAATTCCAAATGGTTACCCTTTGTTGATTTCTAGTCTTATAAATGAAGGCCTTTTCACAATCATCTACAGTTCTGAAGAATGAAGTATTATAACAAGTAGTTATGAAGGCTTTTTGATATTCAATATATTCTTAAGGCCTTCCTTTCACATGAACTCTTTAACAGTAATACTGATAAAAATTAATACCAATAGAGCTGAGAATGAAGCATCCAGCTGATACAAAGTGAGGGGAGATGCACAAGAACACCCAAACTTGTAGATAGTACCCATTTGACCTAGCCTCGATGGCTTGATCATCAGAACTCAATTACAGGAAGATAACTAACACACACACACACACACACACACCCCAAAAAAAATAAAAATCAAACAACAATTTTTGATAAAGGAAATGAAGGTAAATTGCTACAATTTGATGAATTTGACCTATACTCATGGAGATGTTGGGATAGTAGCTCTAAATACCAATAGAGAGGGAAGGAGTCTTCACATCAAGTATCAATGCTATCTATCCTCTCTGTATACAGGGTAGATAGGGATGGGCAACTGAGACACTGGCTACCTAAAATGAGGGGGCGATAAAGGCACGAAGTGAATGGCTTACAAGGTTTCAAGACAGAGTTTAGTTTAAGAGTGTGTGGGGGAAGATAGAGTCCCCACTGAACAGTTTTCATCTTGTCTAAATGGGTCTGGTAAAAAGAGATGGGGATAAGATT